TCAAATTATTTATTTACTTGAATAATTTTTAGTTTTTCAATTATTAAAATTAATAAAATGACAATTAATAAATTAAAAAATGTTTAATAATATAAAAATAAATTTTCAATTAAAACTGAAACTAATCCGAATGATTATTTTAAAATAAAAACCAAAACAAATAAAAGCCTTATTTTCTAGTTTAATTATTGATTTTTAAAATTAAGAACTAAAAATTCAATTAACCAATAATTTAGTTTCATTTCTAACCAAACCATACCCACACCTAATCAATAGAAAGTGCTCAAGTGGGATTTGTTCTCTCCCCCCCACCAAAAAAAAAAGGGTGGAACTTTGTGCTTTACATCCTTTTGTTGCCTTCCATAATTTTCCCTTTGAAAAACATAAACATCTTACCCTCTCAAGGTCAGATGACATTTGATAGAGTTCTATATCCCACTAAGGTAATTAAATCATGTAATCAACTCCCTCTCCCTCACCATAACTATTATTTTTTATTTTAAATTAATTATTATTTTTTCATTTTTTAAATAAACAAATATATATTTTTTAACTTTATCTTTATCAATTTATTATAATTGATCAATATATCACAAAAAGTTTCTATTTCTATTTTATTTTTTATATGTAAATAAATACATAAATTAATTTCAAATTTTTAATTTAAAAAGCAATTATTTTGAGATAGAATGAGTAATTAGTTATAGTTTTTTTCTCTCAACAATTTTCACTACAAATGATAAAAGCTAAAAGAATTACTTATCCACAAGAGAAAAAAATATAAAAAGAAAAACTAATAAAAAGGTGAGTTCGAATCTCTCCTTAATCATTATAACACATCATGTAGTGCCACAAGGGAGAAACATTAATTCAACATTCTTTGATTTCATAATCCAAAGAGAATATCTTGGAGAAAAGATTGCATGAGAAGTATTAGAAATCATCAATACGTGGGAATGGTTTTAGACCAACACAAATGGACTGGAGGCAATAAATTAATTGATAGAGGGTGGAATATCATTTGGTTCGCAGTGGTATGGACTCTATGGCTGGGAAGGAATGACTGGATTTTTAACAAAAAGGAGGTAAA